TTGCGGTTTCTTAATGAGCGGTTTTATTACAGCCAGCTTGTATATTTTTGGGACATGACCTAAAGATAAAGACGAGTTAATAATATTGAGGAGAGGCTCTTCCACTGCAGGTAATAGTTCTTTCAGTAGTTTAGTGGGTATTGGATCTAATAAACATGTTGTTGGTTTAGATGCAATGATAAGTTTATTTAGCTCCTCCTGTCCTATCGTTGTAAAGCGGTGTAGTTGTTCTAGAGGGGCCATAATTGAAGCTGAATCATAAGACACCATAGCGGATTGTACATTTATAATTTTGTTTCGGATGCTTTCTATTTTCGCATTGAAGTAATTCATAAAATCATTACTACTAAACTGTAACGGTATATTTTGCTCTGGTGATGTCTGTTTATTTGTTAGTCTAGCCACGGTGTTAAATAAAAACCTTGGATTATTTTGGTTATTTTCGATTAGTTTGCGGAGATGCTCAGCCCTGGCTGTTTTTAGTGTCTTTTTATAACGTGACATACTGTCTTTCCACGCGATTCTAAAGACCTCTAAATTAGTTTGTTTCCATTTATGCTCTAAGTTGCGAGTTTCTCTCTTGATAGCATGCGTAGCACTGTTGTACCATGGTGCTTTAGTTTTCTCTCGAACCTTTTTTAATCTAATTGGCGCAACAATATCTAATGTACTAGTAAGAATGGTGCTTAAACTGCTAGTCATTTCCTCTAATTCATCTGTTTGTTTGGGTTCACTTTGCAGCTTAGATAGATCAGGTAAGCTATTTGAAAATCCATCTATAGTGGTTGGAAGGATTGTTCTGCCTGATCTATAACGTGGTGCAACATGACATATTTCATCAGTACGTATTATGCAAGTCACCATGTAATGATCAGTGACATCATCGCTTTGCGGTATAATATCTATATCAGTTGGATCGGTTCCATATGATATAATTAAATCTAGTGTATGATTTAGACGATGAGTGGGACCACTGACGTTTTGTTTGACCCCAAAGGAGTTTAATAAGTCTGTAAACGCAGCCCCTAAAGCATCATTTGTATTATCTACGTGTATGTTAAAATCTCCAGTAATTATTGCTTTATCGACATTTACCAATAGATCCGAGAGAAAGTCTGCAAACTCTTTTAGGAATTCAGCATATGGCCCTGGAGGTCTATATACAGTAGCCAGGGCTAGAGATAATATAGATTTCCTTCTTACATCTAAGAGCGTAACATTTAGCACAAGTACTTCAAATGAATTAAACCTGTGACCTGTTTTCTGAGTAATATTAAAAATATCTTGCGGAGTAACCGGCCTCTGCTGTGATTGGCTGACATGCATGCATATGAAATCGCTATGTATTACATGTGAAACTCTCTCGAAAAATTTTACTACAGCTATTATAGGTTTTTACTATTACAGCTATCAAGATTATCGAATCGTGAGATGTTTTTGAAGTATCTATTCCCATCACATAAAGTGTTGCTGTGATGAGCATTGAGCAGCAGCTGACAGTCTGTCGATGACGAGGATGAAGATCTTATCATTGCAATGCAGTAACCTTCTCTGCTTACACTTTTTTTAATGCAGACACGATCATGTAAATACAGTAAGAGCTTCGTTGTGCAGTGTAATGTGCGTCATTGAATTCATAATGCGTTTGGCAAGTGTCCAGAAAAACTCGTGCTGTGATTGTTCTTTGATCGCTTTCTTTCTGTATATAATTCACAATTTAAATAAGATTTTTTTTATCCTACTAAAAGAAACGATGTGAAGTTGATTTTTAATCACTGGCCTGACTTACTGATGCATAAACAGTATTGAACGATTTTAAATTGAAAGATTACCTGTCTGAACTTGAACAACAACACATCAGCTCGATCCGAGGCCAGCTCTTGGCAAGTTGAGGAAACAGTCGTCGGTGAAATGTTTGAAAATTTCCAGACAAAATAAAATTAATCCATTGCTTCTTCAGAGGCTCGGACGAAGGAACTAAAATATACTTTTGTGTTCATGTGTCCATCCGAACACTGATCAACTCCCATGCTTCGGCTTGGCAGCTCCGTCTCGTCTGTCATTGAACATGGGCTGGCATATGCAAATGTTTGCAGTCATACATATTAATGAACCCGACTTTTGCGTAACAGTCGGTATTATGTGGAGATTTGCCTGTTTTTCAGGGGTGTTTTTCAAAAACGAGATTTAAGTAAGAAGGAGAAAACAATGGTGTTTGAGACTCAATATATGTCATGTCCATGTACTGAACTCTTGTTATTTAACTATGCCAAAATAAATTAAATTTCACATTCTAGGGCACCTTTAAGTTTCGTGCACATTTTATAAAACATGGATCTTAGTGGCTCATTTTGTAAACATAAATAACTGATTTAGATGCGCAAACTGGGTGCCGTTGCGGAGATGTAGGCTACATTGCTCGGGCAGATTCGGCTTCTTGAAGTCGTTCATCCTCGAATGCGGCTCCGCGCGCGCTGTTACAAAAAAGCCGTGCACTTCAAGTGAAATGGGGTCTTGCGCGACCGCCCACACCTCAATGACATAATTTTTGCCGCGCTCGTGCGGACGCGTCGAGTAGCCTATAAACAAAGCTCGGAAGTCTTGGATAGCACAAAACGAAATGAACAGGATTGTTGCAGGGTTCATTAAACCCATTAAAGCTATGGTATACCAACATGACATCATGACTTTTGCCTAAACATACATGCCACTTTCGAGTCAAGTGGCGTGTTATCTCTACGTATTTTGAGCTATCAGCGTGTATGCGCGTGTTTGCGTGTATGTCTACGCCATTAACGTCCGCGTCATTCCGCGTGTCTGTACACAACGTCAAATCTCCAGTCATAAATGCCATTAACCCCAGTGACGGTTAAGTTTAGGGATAGGGTTGAGGTAAGTCATATCTTTTTCTTTCCTAGGATGGTAAGGGAAGAGTCATAAATGCCATTAACCCCAGTGACGGTTAGGTTTAGGGACGGGGTTGAGGTAAGTCATATATTTATATAACGTTAAGTCAACGGCGTTCATAAACATGCTGAAAAGCAATTATGCGTCTTGATAGCACGCCAAAAATGGAAATACGAATTGGGGTGTCATACACACGCTACTTCATGAGATCAGAAAAATCGGTCGAGACGGTAGGGAAGTTTTAAAAAACTCATCCCGCCCCTCCACACACACACCCCTTCCCTCTGTGCTACCTGATCCCTGACGTATGTCACATTTGAGTTCACGTCAACGCAAGACGTCAACACAAGATTAGCAACACATGAAATGTTCTAAACTCCCCACCACCATTACAATACTACTAGTATTGCTAAGGTTTTCAGTAATTCTTATTGTAGCACGCAGCGCATCTTGTTCAAATTCCGATCGGCTCGAACAGAAACCTCGAACAAGAAATATAATTAGTTTGACCCGTGATAGGCGATGCTAAACGGCTAACATTCCAATGCCGACCGGCAGCATGAGCAAGTTGTCAAACTGATAAAAAGCCATGTAACACGTCACACCATAAAAGAATAAATAAATGTTTACCTGCTCAACAAAAAGTCATCCGTGTCAGCGTCGTTTTCAGTCCCAGATCTCCCTGAAGCTTTCACCAACAGTCAATGAAGGACGCTATATTTATCGTACTTAGAGTCCGGCGTTCTTCACATTTCTATTTAATCTCTGATCTTTCCTCCACAGACTTTCTCTTTCATCCAAAATTTACAGTAGGGGCAAGCAGGGGCCGCTTGCTGTTGTTGTTTATATTTGTATCCATTGCTTTATCCATTGCTGATCTGACGCTACTAGCTAGCTAGACAGTCTGTCAGCTGTATGCTCGCGTACGGAGGGGGGCGGGTGCGGTTGGGTTGGAGACGAGAGCGCAAGGCGGCGTTTCAAGTGGAGCTGGTGATTAGATGAGAGCAGTGGACCAATATAAGCTGTGCGGCCGCACAGCTTACATTGGTCAACTTTTCTGCGGCTGTACAGCCAATAGAGTGAATGGATTTTTTTCATTCTTTTTTCTATTCATATTGTTAGGATTGTACTATATAACCATAACCAGCAACTAAACAAGGATATTAATAATGAACAATCTTTGAAATCGTATACCCTAGCTTTAATCCCCCAGGTTTAGAAAAATACATTTTAAATTAAGATTAAGAATTTTATGGGATAAAGTGACCTTTATTTTATTATTTTTCATTGAACTCTTCATTTTTTTGTCTTTTATTGCCATTAGTCGAATAAAAAGCTGGTTTTGTTCTGAGTTTTATTCTCCCAAAGCCTGTGTGTTGAACCCCATTTTAAAATGACCCCAACCATAGCCTCCTTTATCCTGTTGTTTGTGAATTTTACAGTGCGGCATATATTTATTTGTGCAGACAGGGATATTGTTTTTTCATGCCATTATGTATAAATTTGTACAATAAAGTGATGATAGAGCAAAAAGTGATGATAGGCTATGATGTTTGTCCATGGTAAATTAAGAAACGGGAAAGTAAAGTAATAAGTAGTGAAGTTTTTCCAACGCAGTAACTAGTAAAGTAATCTCATTACAATTTACAGAAGTAACTAGTAACTAATTACTTTTTTTGAGTAACTACCCCAACACTGCCTGCGCTATAAGATAACTAAACTCACAGACAAGTTAATAATGTCTCTTCTATGTTATGTGTGTATATTGTTGTCTATACATGTGTACTATGTGTAGGTTTGGGTATAGAATTCATGTTGATGGCACTTTGTGTACAGGCTGTGAAAACAAATTTCCTCCAATGAGGACAGTAAAGTATGAATCTGAATGAACCTGAATCTGAATAAGAATGTAAAACTGTGTACCTTGGAATGCAATGTAAGTTTCTTTGGATAAAAGTGTCAGCCAAATGCATAAATGTAATGTTAAATTTCAGGAGTTACAAAAACATTTTTTAAATGACTTACAAACCATTTGTCACATTAACATAACATAACAATAATACATATGTGTATAATAAATGATTAATAAACGATTAACTCTTCAGCAAAATGCTTTATTAAAATTATTTATTACGGAACATTATCATAGTGTTATCACACGAGTGATTACATTTTTACCTGTGCATTGACACTGAAACATGCATGAACTTAACTAACTTCCTCTATATGTACTGTAAGAGAAACGGCTCAGAATCAGAGGAATATGGTACTTCTGTGAAGGGTCAGTGATGTTGAAGACAACCTGAAAAAAACAAAGCAAACAATAATAAATAACACACTAACAATTGCTATTAGAAAGAGTGTAAAGCAGTGGTTTACAATCCTGGTCCTGGGGACCCACTGATCTGCGTATTTTATTTCTATTATTTAACACACCTGATTCAGATCATCATTTTTTTTAGAAGAGAGCTCAATAAATGGAACTGAGTGTGTCAGATAAGAGAAACACATGCAATGTGCAAAGCGGTGGTTCCCTTTCATAGGGGCATGTCAACTGCTGATGCTATGGGAGCACCCCTTGGTGTTATGATTGTCTGAAGCCTGAATAGATTCACTGCAATTTATCGGCTTACACTGCCCCATATCATGCTCACGCCATCTCACTCAGATTTCACTATTTTCAGAAAGTGGTTTATGTGTTGCCCTCAAAGGGGTGATGAACTGAGAAATCAAATTTTCCTTGAGCTTTTGACACCTAAGAGGTTATCATATTATTATCCTGTAAGTTTCAGAACTGAAAACATCCTTGTTAGTCCAATAAAAGCTTTTATTGACACCAGGGGCTCGTTCTTCGTACGTTGCTTAAAACATCCGAGATCAAATGAGACATCTAAGATGATATCATCGTGCTAATCATGATCCGGCTAATTGGGTTCTTCGAACACACCTGTTGTTTATGATTAGTATCGCTGGATTGAGTTATGAGATAACTGCGCGTTCTCGCGTTGGTTTAAAAGGGGACATGTATCGATAGCAGAACCAGTGATCAGCAGCACTGCTATTGGCTGTTCAGCACGGCCAAAGAACACGCCCATTTTCTCTCCCAAGCAGAGCAAGCGCTTTTAATGCAAGGTTATGCCGAATTTCAGTCTTTAATTAAAACGCCAGGGAATACCTCAAAGTGTGCAAAAGCCAGGAGAGAGTGCTGGCAAAACTAGAAGACAAATTAAATGCGTTTGTGGTGGCCATGTTAGATGTTTTAATAACTTATTATTATTTTATTTTTATTTTCATAATTTCATAATTACTTTGTTCATTGTAATGTCGAGTCACCACACTATAATAATGGACATGGTCAAAGTGATGTACAAAAATATTCTACTTAATGGTAATTTTAGGCCTTATAGGCCTACTAGTCTCTTTTAAAAAGGCACTGTTAAATAAATGATTGTCTGTTTATAAAAGCAACCAGGAAAAAGGCTGAGAAAAAAATAATAATGATGCTCCTGACCCTGGCAGAAGAGCTGACCCTTGGGTTGAATGTGAATTGGCCTGTTGTGAAGGGCATCCCTGGGTTCAGCTCTTCCAGACCCACATCAGGGACCAGTAGCAGCAACACCTTCATCACTGGGAAATGAGATTTAAATTATCTTTGTACACTGTGAAATAATTTGTTGCTGCATTGAATTAAGTAGACCTATAATCCAAATTGGCTGGTTTAGTCATTTCAACTGTTAAATCTTGAGTAATGATAAATTGATTTGTCTTGTGAAAGTAAAAACTGATAAACTTATGTTAATGTAAAAATATTTGACCATGAGTTATCAATCACATTGCACTGGAGAGTGAAGAAAACTTCTCAGATGACTGTCCTTTGGAGGAAGTACTTTAATTTAATTGATGGCTTTAATTGATTTCTACTTGTGCCTATGCCTATTATTTCTGACAGGAGTCCACATGAACAGAAGAGTCTGCACACAACAGTGATACAGGGGTGGGCAGTGTAGAGACAAATTTGCTTTTTATTTGTTGCATGAGGCATGTGTGACACAAACGACACAGGGTTAAATTCGTTCCCTATATGAGTCTTCAACAGAAATTATTGGAAATAAAAAAGTATTTTGAAATTAACAGTATTTTGGAAAAAACAAAAATCAGGGGGAGAAACAGAACTTGACTAAGAAAAAAATTGCACTAGAAATAGAGTTGCTTCAAAATAAACTTCAGAGTAAAATCACACAGAGTACTATTGCTGACCTTGCATAATATCTTTTAAAAAGATGACTGAATAACTGGGTTTTCTTTACAAAGAACTATTGAAATAAAACTCTAAGCAAATAGAGTTTTGCAAATTTGTCTTGTCTTTTATTTTAGGCTTATTAAAACTTTTTTTTTTCTGATGTTGGCAGTGTTGCGTAATATGGCACATGCAATGTCACAGGCCCTGTCAGGTGCAACCCTCAGGCTTTTTAGACCCTGAAATCTTCCCTTTATTGGCCAAAGCTCAATGTCATTGTGTGCCCTTGTCCTAGAGCTACATTGTAACTGGTCTGGGGTTTTGGTCAGGGAATGGGGTAATAAAACACCTGTCTCCATGCAGGATCCTGTTGTAATCACCTGTTTAAAAGTTTTTGGTACGTATCCTAATGGCAAAGTTGAATTAATGATTTTAAGAAGAGGATCTATGACCTCTGGAAGCATCTCTTTCAGTAGATTAGTCGGTATATGGTCTAACATACATGTTGTCGATTTAGATGATTTAACAACTTTAGAAAATCCTTCCTCTCCTATAACATGAATGAATCAAATTTTTCGTCAGGAAGACTACAATGCACTCCTGAGTGAACTTGCGCCCTGCACTTTAGACTAGGGGTGTAACAATAAATCGATATGGATTGATGCATCGATCAAACATATAATGATACGATGCATCGATACCACACACGAAATGTCGATATACTATACCTTTATTTTGACACACTCCACATCCTCACGTAACCTTTCTCCACTGACATAGACACCTGACAAGATTTACTGAGCCCTTTGTCACAAAAGCTGGTATTTTCCACTGTAAAGGCATTGCGGGTTTATGTTTTACAGCAGAAACGACAAGCCCCGAAAAGTCTGTTTTAGCAAATCAGTGCGCAGTATTCAGGTCAGGTGACAAGGCTGCTTGTTACTTTGCAAATACGTGCCAGCTGAGAGTTTTGTAACAAACAACTTAATGTCCCAATTGGGTGAGGTCGTGCAATTTAGTTTAATTAAACTTTCATGTAATATATTTTTGTATGTATTGTGAGTTAATACATGTAACTGGTTGTGTACACTTGGCACATAATATCTAAATATCGATTAATCGATCGATATAGCCCTGAACCGAATCGTAATCGTATCATAGAATTTTTTGAGGTATCGGCAAATATTGTATCCCTGGCTGAGAGAATCGATATCGTATTGTATCGTGATTAACTGTCCACTTTACACCCCTACTTTAGACCACACGCTTTGATAATTAAAATATGGCCCTAAGTGTTATTTTATAATAATGTTACATGTACAGTTGGTACAGTTAGTACCGCTCCCTCAGTGACCAGCACCCAAGATAAATCTCACCCTCTCTGCGCAAAGACTTGTGTTACTCAGAGCCCATCGCTCACTCAACCTGTGATTTTCACATCATTTTGTAACAAAAACTCTAGTCTAAAACATCCAGTTGACCAGTACTCAAAATTCTTGTTAACTATGTATTGGCATAGACATAGTTATGTGGCTCTGTGGTATATTTTTGTGGTATACTATTACCCTATGTTCTTCGAGTACTATTGAATGAGCCAATGTAATTGGCGTGCGTGATTCACATCACACACTCCGCCCCACGCGTGGGTATAAACACGGAAGTGGATGGATGCACTAGTTGCTTTTCCGCTGAGGAGCCGAGAGTAACCTGGAGTCAACAGTGGACCAGTGATAGTGGCAAGGGGACTATGTCCTCCGTTCCCTCCTTCAGGGAACGGTAGGTTGCATACGCAACCAGGATGTTCCCTTTCAGTCGATAACGTCAGACGTAGTCTACGGTCGACTGAATGGGGATAACCTTTGAAAACGCCACTAAAGCTGCCACCTTCCAGTGCCTAGACAAAAGCCTCCTGATGCCCCCTCAATTTTAAGGCGGGAAAGGACAGGCCTTAGGCCAGGTAGTCACTGCTGTTCCTACAGGACCACTAGGAAAGTTTTTTTTCCGTACATTGGAAGGAAGGGACGCTGCGGAAGCCACATCCAACCCGGAGGGTGGTAACATGGGGAAAACTCATATGAACTGGGTGGAAGACCGAGCAGTATGACATATGGAATGTCACTGGGGTGGCTCCAGCCTATGACAGGGGGGAGACTCTCCCGACACTGATGGCAGAGCAGACTCTGCCGAGGGAAGACACGGGCTCACCGAAGGGAGCCGTATCATGGAAATACACATATGTGATCACCGTAGGGATCTCAATATATGGGCCCCAGCCTAGCACAGGTTCCACACTGCTTACCAGTGGTAGGCCTAACACCGGACATTCCGCCACATTCGATGTTGGCGGGGTGTGGAGGAACTCGACAGGGTTCGGGCAAGGGGAACACAACTGGAGTAGAAATGGCGCACGTATCCAGTCCATTGGAGGGGAACAGCACAACAAGCCGAGACTTGAACCGGGCTCATGGTGAAACTGGCTTCATAAGAAGGGAGCCCACGGAAGCAGTGGTTCAATCTAGGTGTCGCCCAGCCCCCAACTCTAGAATCTGTCAGCAAAGCACTTTGTCAATGCCTAGGCGGAGCAACACTCATTATAGAGGAGCTATATAACACCTAAGAGGACATCTCGGAATTCTACACCGAATTAAGGCAGCCACCATCAGTGGGCCAACTTTGCTTGGAAACAGCCTTCCGTCTCTGCTAAATCTAATAGATTAGAGTTGGTCTGAGGAGTAAGGCTTTCGTTCTGTACATGTCTAACTGCTATGAAGCGGGCGGATAGAGAAAGCCAGGGCTGGGTCTGCCCCCTCTTGGGCAGCGCCTGCAGGCTCACCACCTGCTCCTATTACAGGAGAGGTAGGAACTTTGGGCACAATCCAGGACTGAGTCTTGTGAGAGTAGCCGGCGTGAACTCCAGGCACAATTCGTTGACCGAAAGCGAGCAAGTCCCTACCCTCTAATAGAGACCATGCGAACAGGAGAACTGTTTTCACAGAATTAGTTCCAATGATCTTCACTTTATAATACGGATCCAAATAATTAGTAATTCCCACAGAAGTATCTAG